CAATCTTAATATCTCCGAGCTATACAACACACACGCATCAGCTAACTAGCTGCTAGTGTGTCACCCAAAATAATAATAATAATAATAATATATTTGTTAACTAAAATAAGGTTTATTTTATTGCATTGTTTAATTAATCTACTAAATGCTCGATAAAAAGTTGTAAGCATTAATAGTTTTTAAAGGTGAAAAATTTTCTACTTTTTTCAGGAATCCAAATATCTCGGTGGTGACATGGAACACACTCACTTGGTTAAAGGTCTTGATTATGCGTTATTACAAAAGGTAAGATGTCTATAATCTTACTTCTTACTAATGTTATGATGGATGGATGTTCGTTACTATATATCCAGTTAGTTCAATAGAACATGCTTTACTAATATTTTAAATGTAAAAGTTTAGATGGATGGATGTTTGTTAGAGTTTGTAGCCTAAACTGCTGAACGGATCTTGATGAAATTTGGTACAGATGTAGAGGATAGCCTGGTGAAAACATAGGCTACTAATTTTTGTTTTTGTATACAATTGTTTTAACATAGTAACTTAGGAACCAAAAATAATGATATTTTTTTAAATCATACATTTACATACTGCGGGCAATTTCTATGTTATTATAAATATATGTTGTTTTATCAGGTTAGATCAGAGATTCAAAATCGGGAACAAGAGCAAGAAGCAGAAATGGAGAGACTAGTGGAGGCACCCATTATTGAACCTGTTAAGGAGAAGAAAGAGATACCGGTGGTGAGTTTAGAATATGCGAGAGGTTGGATGTATGGACAGATTTTTTATATCATAAGGTGGCAAATGAGCAAGCGGTCACCTGAATCCGCCAAAATAGCGAAAAACCGCTGCCTATAGACTTTGTCTACCCTTAATCGACAAAGACTCACATAAATAGGATATTTCCCTTACCGATGAGGCTGTCAAATCCACTACTAAACCAGATGTGTAATATATCTCCAAATCGGCGTAACAGATAGTAATATTATAAATGCGAAAGTTTAGATGGATGGATAGATGTTTGTTAGCGTTTGTAGCCGGCTTAACGGATCTCCATGAAATTTGGCACAGGTTTAGAGCATAGTCTGAAGGAACACATAGGCTACTTTTTATTCCTGGAATAGTTACGGTTCCCGTGGGATTCATTAATTTAGTTTTTTAATGTTTACTCGATCATTCTGCAACGGTTCAACATATCTTATTGAAATTTGGCACAGATATAAAACAAAGTCTGGAGTACACATGAGATAAGCTTCATCCCCGAGAAATGTCCGGTTCCCGAGGGATACGTAGCTTTTTGTAATTTATATAATTTGTATGTTTTCTAATAGCACGCGTACGAAGTCGCGGGCAACGGCTCGTATTAAATTTAACAATGTAATTAGATCTCAATGTAATTTGACACAAATGTATAAATAGGCTATTTGGATGTTTTTTTAAAATTCCCTGCAGACGAAGCCGCAGGCAAAAGCTAGTGTCTGATATTGCAGAGGTAACTTATAAGACTCAAGTCATGAGTTATCTTAAAGATTTAATTTATTTGGATTTAAAAATTAGATACTGATTATAACAGCTTTAAAATATTGTTATTGGTTAATTTTACTCACGGAAAAGGTTGACTGCACTTAAGGGTCATCAAGGCTGTGGTTAAGTTGTTTGTTTTTTTTTAGGATGAAGAATTACAATTCAATACAACTGTAGGAAAGAATATTTACAACATGATATTGGAACAAAAGTAAGTAAAATGCTGAACATTTAGTAAATGCTTTTTGTTCCCTTTTCTATCCTTTTTGTACAAGGGAAAGATGGACAAGGATATTACCTCTGTCCCCTGTTGTTTATAAGCATGCAAATATATCTTGGTAACATTAGCTATTTTAGTGAATTCCTTTAGTCGCTTGCATTTGGCAGACACAAAGAGATTCACATTTATAGAGGAGACATAGTTTACATTTCATTTGAAGCATTTTTAACATAATCCACTAACTTTTGATAGCCTCAAAACGTGGCAATGTAATAAATTGTATTTTAATTATACCAATTGGTGTTAAGAAACATTTGTTTTCAACCACTGTTTAGTTTATGTTATAATAAAAAAAATCACACAAAAATATGGGACCCACCTGCAAGTAATGCTTGCTTTCCGATAAAAAAAGAATTATCAAAATCGGCCCACTAGCGGCGGTGGCCGTAACACACATAAAAACATACAGACGAATTGAATATTTCCTTCTTTTGGGAAGTTGGTCAAAAATGTAGCTTTTAATTTTTTACAATGGTTTATTACAAGGACACTAGGCTTAACTAGACACTAAATTTGACCACAGATGTACATTTCAGAGAAAGTACCGGTGAAATTTTTTTTATTTACTATGCCTTGTCTATATATTTTTAAAATGTAAAGATATTTCTAATCTTACTTCTTACTAATATTATAAATGCGAAAGTTAAGATGGATTTTTGTTAGAGTTTGTTGCTTAAACGGCTGAATGGATTTTGATGAAATTTGGTATAAATGTAGAGGATAGTCTGAAAGAATATATAGGCTACCCACTATTGTGTTTTTTTAATTCCACGCGGACGGAATCGCGGTCGAAAGCTTCATATATAGACCAAAGAGGACCTATTAAAATTTTAGGAATAAAAAAGTGGTTAGAAACGAGTTGTTCGCTCCTGGTCGTATGGCATACGTTGTGGAGCTGGAAGACGAAGGTGCGATGGACAGTGACATCCCCACCACGCTCACCCGCAGCAAGGCTGATGTACCGGAATTAGACGAAAGGAGTTCAGCCACAGCCGCTAATGACGTAGTTCTAGATAAACTGGCTCAAATATTCTCATATTTAAGACATGGAAGGCATAGGAAATTGAAGAAGACTAAGGTAAGGTATTAAAATTGCTATACTACGGGCCTGTCCCACCACTGGCTGATAGAGGGTCAGATAGCTTAAGAATGACGTCACTGTCAGATAAGGGAGCAAAATCCGATATTTCCATCACATATTTTACACGTTGGATTGTTATCAGACAATTTACAATTTGGAGGGATGGGCCCTAAATTGATTTTTTACTCGTAGGGCTTTTTATTAAAAAAAAAGGTTTATTTAAAAATATACTGTGATTGCTGACATCCTACGTAACTAAGTAGTGTGTGTTTACGATTTGTTAAGTAAAGATATAGATATAGTATTGAAGATTTACTCTTATCTTTATTCGAATGTTATAAAGCTATAAAGTATTTATCGTGTTTATATAACATTTGTAGGATAAAGCGACGGAAAAAGGTCGTAATGATGATTCAATCTACGGCGAGATCGGAGAGTACGTGGCGGAGCGACGCAGCGACCGCCGCGACGACAGACCGCGCTCCGGATACTTCGACAAACCTGTGGAGACGGAGAAGGAGGAAGGTATTATACTATTCAAAGTTTACAGCGGCTCGAAAATGCGAGTGAAGTAATTCCGCGGTAGTCTTTAGAATAGCACATACAATTGTTACTTTAATACATTTTTAACATGATCGACATCAAGAAATTAACTATTTTTGGTACTTTTTGAGAAAAAACTCAAAAACTACTTGGTAGTTTTTGTTTTTGAAATGTAAGGCAGCTAAAACTAAAATAGAATCACTTAAATCTTATAAATCACAGCGTAGTAAATACATACAAAACCCGTCTAATTGAGAATCTCCTTTTTATAGTTGATTACAAGTTTTCTATGTATAAGAAAAAGATAATTCTATACATTTATTAATAAGTCGATAACTTAAATGCCCACAAATCGTTTTAATCAACAAAATCCACATCTCTGATATGTGGTTCACATCTGGTCAACGGCGCTCTATAACTGGACTGGCATAGTGTAATCACTATCTGGCGCCAGTGTGTCCATACAGTTTATGACTGGTTGTAACAACTAAACTGGTCAAGTGGTATCGCGCATAACACACTCTAGTCCACACTTAGGCAGTACAGTTGGACAGTAGCTCAATAACTGACATAATGTGAACACCAATCAGCTTATTAAACACATGGCTTTACTATTGTCAAGTATATCTAAGTTTGAACTTTTTTTTGGTATAGGGGGAAATCTTTTCTTTAGATTTTTTTTATGAAAGACAGGTTTATGTGAGATTTCTAGACACTAAAAATCCCCTCTGTGGCCACCCTCAAGTGCGATTTGAGGGTCCCGGGATCTCCAGTGGTCTGCACAGGTTCCCTTTGCACTGAGCTTTTGCTCGATCCCCCCGAAAATTTGTCTAAATGTGAGAGCATTTTAAATTACTAAATAAGTACTAAGTCTGAGTTTTTAGACTATAAATTGTTTAGTTCCCGTACCACGTCGTGCCGCGGGTGTGGCGGGCGGGGTGGCGGGGGCGGAGCGCGAGTCGCGGTCTGCGGCGCTGCTGTCGCGGCTGGCGGCGGAGCCCGAGGGCTACGCGGAGTGCTACCCCGGCCTGCGGGAGATGGACGACGCTATAGATGACTCTGATGACGAAGTCGATTATACGAAGATGGATGCTGGCAATAAGAAGGGACCTATAGGTGAGTTAATACAACTAAAGTATGTTTTGTATTATTTCAAACAGAGTTAAAATCGTTAACTGATATTTTTAAAAACTATAAATTACGTATTAAAGTGATTTTGCATGATTTTAAAGGAAATACTAAATAAATATGTATTTGGTAATAATACTCTAGTTAAAAGCTAGTAATTTTGCACATGACTTGGTCAGTGCGGAGTTAAAACAAATAATACTAAATAGCCTAAGTGTCATTCCAGATTATGTTCTACATGTATTACAAGTTTTAGCTATATTTTGGCTGTTTTGTAAATTGGTACATCGTAATTAATAAACATCAACTTTCGTGATAGTAATATATCCTATGGGAACCGTAACCGAGATAAAAAGTAGCCTATGTGTTCTTCCAGACTACTCTACGCCTATGTCAAATTTCATCGAAATCCGTTCAGCAGTTCAGGCTACTAACTCTAACAAACATCCATCTAAACTTTCGCATTTATAATATTAGTATAATAATTATCAAGGTCGTTGGGACTTCGACACACAAGAAGAGTATTCAGCATACATGAGCAGTAAGGAAGCGTTACCGAAGGCAGCATTCCAGTACGGCGTGAAGACGCAGGACGGCCGCAAGACAAGGAAGACTAAAGATAAGAGCGAGAAAGCAGAACTTGATAGGGAATGGCAACAGGTATGTTTTTATATTACAAATACATTTTTTTCGCCCAAGAGGCGAAGCAGCGCCCATATCCGTACTTGCAGCTTTGACAATTAACGGAGGAACGCACATAAAGAGGATTTCTCCTAACTATTAATATAATCCATCAAATCCAGTATCCCTTTTCAGTCTTTTCTTCTAAGATAAGAATGAGAAGGGAGAATAGATTTGACTGTACACAAGGAAATATTTAACCTTCCAAAGCCCTTAATTGGAAGGGGAAAATATCCACGTATTCAAGAAGTTAGCCATATAACTAGTTTATAATAATGTCTGGCGGAAGTTTAAACAATTTAAAGCGTCAAGAAATTAATTTATTTTGTCAATTAAAGGCAATTATGTAATATTAGGAATCAAATTAGTACCGTACTATAGAATTGGCGCAACTCTAGATTATCGGCATAAACGTCACGTCCCTAGCTGACAGCTGTCAATGTCACTAGAAGGATGGATAGATTGGCGCGCATTCTAAGTCCTGACGAGAAGTGTTGCTCTGAGTTTAAAGCGACAGTATCAATTAAATAAGTTGTCTAAAAGTAATTATGTAATTAGATGATTATATTAAAATCTTGTAAATTCTTAGAGAAATAAATATCAAACCACAAATCATTAGTAGTAATGTATCATCAACATTAGTAGGAACATTAAATTTTTGAATGGTTAGTTAATCAAAAATTAATTAACTTAAATTATGTACTGATTTTAGTGTATTTTATTTTTTACAGATCCAAAATATAATACAGAAAAGAAAAGCACCATTGTCAGCAGATGAACCCAACTTCAAAACACCAAAGTATTAATTGTATAGAGACACGACATTTAAAAAATATATAGAGTAGACATAGGGAACATAAATAAAGAGGAAGACCGAAGAAAGTATGGATGGATTCTGTGAAAGAGGATATGCTTAAGAAAGGTGTGGATTCAGTTATGACGGCTGATAGAGATGTATGGAGCAGCACATACTGTCCCGACCTTCCATGAGGGATAAGGGCAAGTTGATGATGATGATGATGAGACATTTTTCACCGGTAACTTCTTTAAAAGGTACTATGTCAGTTGTCAAGTTTAGTGTCCTTATGTCCTTATATTGACATGTTATAAAACATTTTACAAAATTATAATAAGCAAATATAAAAATTTAAAATGTAAATACACCTATTGGCGATTAATTTCAATATAATTAATTATATCAACATGTTGTTTTGAAGATCTATTAATAGGTAGTGAGGTCATTTGAAAAATGTCTCAAATGAAGCGTCAACTATGTCTCCTCTATTTATTTTTTTAATCTCTTTGACACAGACCGACAAGGATATCTGTCATGGCGGACGTGACATAGATATGTATAAATAGATAGGTGATTGTTTGGAAATAACAGCGCTTACTTCGTAATGACTTAAAACGCCTTTTGATGATAATGATAGGTCTATTATTATTGTAAGTTCAATTTTCAACACGACTAACCGCAAGTATTTGATTTTCGCTATTTTTGCGATGATGATGATCAAAAATTCTTTACAACTATTCGCAAATAGTTGTAAAGAATTTTTGAACTAATAATAATAAACCTATCATTAAAAACAGAAGTTTATGTCGGAAAGAAGCAAAAGCTGTCATTTCCAAACAATTTCCTATCTATTTATACATATCTATGACTACAGCTGATTTGATTTTTTTCTGTTTGTCTATGTCTAAATAGATTATAAATATTTTCTGGTAGTACTAACGGATAGCAGTGTTTTTTACCGGTTAAGATATCCTTGTTTGATTACAAAATTTTATAAGAATGTATTTACGCGGGAAAAATCTACATATATCTGTATGTAGTTGTATGATATATAATGTATGATTTAAATATTTGTGTTTTATAAGAATAAATAAATAGTTATACATGCATATGACTTTAATTTTATTAACCCAAAAAATACAATCGTTTTTTTTTTTTAATAAAAAAAAAAACTTTATGACGTTTGTATTAGAATTTAAAACATTATATCACAAGAGTGAATCGGATTTTCTTTGCGATTCTTTACCACAGATTTCAAAAGGTCAACAAAAAATCGTAACTTTTTTACAATTTCAAGGAAATTCTGTCCCACATTCTTTGTACATATATTCTAAATTCCAGTCTTAAAAATATGCACGCATTTGTAATTATTCCAACCGTTATGTACAGACGTGAGGAAACTTGCTCATTTACTGTTGTGTAATTGATTTTTTAATTATCACCAAACGCAGGCATTCCTGTACGAACAACTCGCCTAATGAGATATACCAAGTAAACTAAATGTTTTTGATTCCGCATTCCAATAAGTACATCTGTTCACGAACCAGCACCTTTATCAGAAATCCCTACCTTTATGTAAATGTATGGTAATTTTAATAAATTATCTTTTACTGTAATTATACAGTACTTAATATTTTATCTTCGTTACTCCTCCCATTGGACATACAAAGGAGGATGTGTGCCGGGACGACAGAAACGCTATTATCAGATCGGCCTACCGACCTTCAGGTTTCACTATACTTAAAAAAGTGAGACATTCTTTCACGTGAGGGCGCGCGGTGACGCCGTCGCCGAAGAGAAATGCGATTGCGACCGAATTCGCGACGATTCATTTGACACGATGCCGGTTCATCGCCATCGCGCCGACCCATCCCCCGCCCCCGCCCCGCAGAGCGTCTTCACAGGTGCGTAAGCGCAGGTACACTCTCCTCTCCCGCCCCGCGCCCCG